ACTAGACCTCTGTACCACGATGGTATAGACACGAAGCCAGCCAGTGATTAGATATCTATCTGTTAGAACTTTGAAGACTTGAGTGGTATGGACTAGACCTCTGTACCACGATGGTATAGACACGAAGCCAGCCAGTGATTATGTATCTATCTGTTAGAACTCTGAAGACTTGAGTGGTATGGACTAGACCTCTGTACCACGATGGTATAGACACGAAGCCAGCCAGTGATTATGTATCTATCTGTTAGAACTCTGAAGACTTGAGTGGTATGGACTAGACCTCTGTACCACGATGGTATAGACACGAAGCCAGCCAGTGATTATGTATCCATCTGTTAGAACTTTGAAGACTTGAGTGGTATGGACTAGACCTCTGTACCACGATGGTATAGACACGAAGCCAGCCCAATGATTAGATATCTATCTGTTAGAACTTTGAAGACTTGAGTGGTATGGACTAGACCTCTGTACCACGATGGTATAGACACGAAGCCAGCCAGTGATTAGATATCTATCTGTTAGAACTTTGAAGACTTGAGTGGTATGGACTAGACCTCTGTACCACGATGGTATAGACACGAAGCCAGCCAGTGATTATGTATCTATCTGTTAGAACTCTGAAGACTTGAGTGGTATGGACTAGACCTCTGTACCACGATGGTATAGACACGAAGCCAGCCAGTGATTATGTATCTATCTGTTAGAACTTTGAAGACTTGAGTGGTATGGACTAGACCTCTGTACCACGATGGTATAGACACGAAGCCAGCCAGTGATTATGTATCTATCTGTTAGAACTCTGAAGACTTGAGTGGTATGGACTAGACCTCTGTACCACGATGGTATAGACACGAAGCCAGCCAGTGATTATGTATCTATCTGTTAGAACTCTGAAGACTTGAGTGGTATGGACTAGACCTCTGTACCACGATGGTATAGACACGAAGCCAGCCAGTGATTATGTATCTATCTGTTAGAACTTTGAAGACTTGAGTGGTATGGACTAGACCTCTGTACCACGATGGTATAGACACGAAGCCAGCCAGTGATTATGTATCTATCTGTTAGAACTTTGAAGACTTGAGTGGTGTGGACTAGACCTCTGTACCACGATGGTATAGACACGAAGCCAGCCAGTGATTATGTATCTATCTGTTAGAACTTTGAAGACTTGAGTGGTGTGGACTAGACCTCTGTACCACGATGGTATAGACACGAAGCCAGCCAGTGATTATATATCTATCTGTTAGAACTTTGAAGACCTGAGCCTCCATGTGGAGCTAGCCGGAAAATGTGGGCTATTTATAGAACTGCTCATTACGTGCGGAGGGGGAAAGGGGGAAAGATTTTTAGTTCTGCATGACCCAGATCTGATCTACTCACTCAAGCATCGCGCTGAGGTATGCGGAGACTTCCTGGGGGGGGGGGGGGGATAATTCAATTTCGTGTCCGTGCGTCTCTCTCCCCCCCCCCCCCCCCCCCCCCGCCCCTCCAACGTTTTGCACTCACTGAAACGTGTCAGGCTTGGCTACAAGTAAGTCTATGGTGCTGAGGTGGTGGGGTGCTGAGGTGGTGAGGTGGTGAGATGGTGAGGTGCTGAGGTGGTGAGGTGGTGAGGTGGTGAGGTGCTGAGGTGGTGAGGTGGAGATGTTGTTAGGGGGTGAGGTGGTGATGTGCTGACGTAGTGAGGTGCTGAGGTGGTGAGACTTGGGGGCGGGAGTCAGGGGGTTGGGACATGTTATCCATGTGATGAGTTTATTTCAACGATGTAAGTGTTCTGATATCGGAATTACGGGAGCGGATTTTGTAGGTGTAGGTGGGTGTCTACAGTAACGGGCGTATTTTTTTCTTCTAGCAAACTGTGATTAAGTTGATAACACCGGTCGTCTAGTTGAGTACTCACGCTTACCACGTGTGTGTGGGGGGAGTGGGGAGAGGAGAAATTGTTTGTATGTGCGTGTGTAAGTGTGTGTCTGTGTTTGTGTCTGTATCTGTGTGTGTTTGAATGCAGAAATATTGAAGGAATACATCAGAAGCATCTTTACATGGGACATAAAAGGTGAGGGTATAAACGGTGAAGGAGTGTGCTAATGAGGGGGGGGGGGGCTCCCCTTCTCCCCCAGAAAAACGTCTATCGCCCACTGGAACGAAATATAATTCATATAGAAAATACTTTTAATAGTGTCAGCCCCCACCCCACCCGGAAATTTTAGCCACCCCCACCCCAAAAATTTCAAGTGCTCCCCGGAGAAAAAAGTCTGTTAGAAACACTGGGGAGTGGAAATCATGGGGCGGTTAAGGAGTGGGGTGAAGAGGGGGTCATTAGAGAGATCATGTGTAAGAAATTTAATGTGCGACAAATATTTAAAGCCTCGGAAACAGTTTTATTTTCTATTATTATTTTGAAAGATTTGTTTTTAATTTGCTTTATTTTGTCTTCTCTTTCTGTCAACAGCACTTTATCCAACGGATTACCAAATCGGCTAGGGCTACAGGACATTACCCCCCTGGATATTTCCCCCCCGGACATTCCCCCCCCCAAATTTACCCCCGGGGAATTACCCCCCCCCCCCCCCTCAAGTTAAAATCCTAACTCTAACTAGAATTTTATACCTATATACAACTTTAATCCAAACCTTAAGAAAAAGACCAAAACCTAAGCATCCACCTTAGACTAAAACTTCACACAAAACCAAAACCAAAGCTAGACACAACCCTAACCCTAGCCCTAACCCTAGCCCTAACCCTAACCCTAGCCCTAAAACCTAACCCTAACCCTAGCCCTAACCCTAACCCTAACCCTAGCCCTAACCCTAACCCTAGCCCTAAAACCTAACCCTTACCCTAGCCCTAGCCCTAACCCTAAAACCTAAAACCTAAAACCTAACCCTAACCCTAAAACCAAACCCTAACCCTAACCCTAACCCTAGCCCTAGCCCTAGCCCTAACCCTAGTCCTAACCCTAACCCCTAGCCCTAAACCTAACCCTAACTCTAACCCTGTCCGGGGGGGGGGGGTAATGTCCTACTGGGCGGGGGGTAATTGACAGGGGGTAATTACTCTGGGGGGTAATGTCGGGGGGGGAAATATCCGGGGGGTAATTGACAGGGGGGAAATGCCCTGTTCCCGTCGGCTAGTATTATATACAACACAATTATTACCAACTAATCACGAACGAATGACTACGACCAAATGACCACGAATGAATGACTACGACCAAATGACCACGACCAAATGACCGCGACCAAATGACCGCGACCAAATGACCGCGACCAAATGACCGCGACCAAATGACCGCGACCAAATGACCGCGACCAAATGACCGCGACCAAATGACCGCGACCAAATGACCGCGACCAAATGACCGCGACCAAATGACCGCGACCAAATGACCGCGACCAAATGACCGCGACCAAATGACCGCGACCAAATGACCGCGACCAAATGACCGCGACCAAATGACCGCGACCAAATGACCGCGACCAAATGACCGCGACCAAATGACCGCGACCAAATGACCGCGACCAAATGACCGCGACCAAATGACCGCGACCAAATGACCGCGACCAAATGACCGCGACCAAATGACCGCGACCAAATGACCGCGACCAAATGACCGCGACCAAATGACCGCGACCAAATGACCGCGACCAAATGACCGCGACCAAATGACCGCGACCAAATGACCGCGACCAAATGACCGCGACCAAATGACCGCGACCAAATGACCGCGACCAAATGACCGCGACCAAATGACCACGACCAAATGACCACGACCATTGGTTGCCCTAAGACAAATGCTTGAGACACAAAATGAGACACAGTCGAGGCCATCCCGAGACAGATTGAAATCTGATGTTTACAAAGATGTCAACAAGGTCTTGCTTAGCTCAGTCTTAACAAGACCAGACACTTTGAGATGGAAGACACGAAATTGTGTGTGTGGGGGGGGGGGGGGTAAATTGGGAGGTGGTAAAGTTTTGAGTTACAGGTTCTCTAACAGCTGATGGTGCCAAGTTTCCTTCAATTAGATGGAATGGGGGGGGGGGGGTGAATCCGGGGCTATTTAGTCAGATGGGGCTTAACCCTGGGTCATTTAGTCAGGGGGGGGGGGCCTTACATAGATATGTCACTTTGACATATGTAAATGTCAGCCTGACCTATGTACACGTCAAATGTCCGTGGATTTAAACTGAGTTTACACTAAACCTGTGATAATTGGGACTCCACCCCCACCCCTACCCCCACCTCTCACCCCATTTAGCACCTTGATGTGTTGGGGGAGTTTGTTAGGGACGGGCAAATGGAGGCGAATTTACTAGGATAAAGGTCAGCAATATTAGCTCGCTAGGAGTTCACGATTCTACAGTCTATTAATAGCTGTCACGTGACATTCAGCCCGACTAGCAACCCGTTTATTTAATTGACATCACCGGAAGTGTGAGATGTGCTCAGGCGTTACTACGGATGTGTGGGAGTGTGGGGTAGTCACAGCCCTGATAGCTGACCACTACTGATGTGTGGGTGTGTGGGGTAGTCTTGGTCCTGATAGCTGACCACTACTGATGTGTGGGTGTGTGGGGTAGTTATGGTCCTGATAGCTGACCACTACTGATGTGTGGGTGTGTGGGGTAGTTATGGTCCTGATAGCTGACCACTACTGATGTGTGGGTGTGTGGGGTAGTCGTGGTCCTGATAGCTGACCACTACTGATGTGTGGGTGTGTGGGGTAGTCTTGGTCCTGATAGCTGACCACTACTGATGTGTGGGTGTGTGGGGTAGTCACGGCCCTGATAGCTGACCACTACTGATGTGTGGGTGTGTGGGGTAGTCACGGCCCTGATAGCTTACCACTACTGATGTGTGGGTGTGTGGGGTAGTCTTGGTCCTGATAGCTGACCACTACTGATGTGTGGGTGTGTGGGGCAGTCACGGCCCTGATAGCTGACTACTACTGATGTGTGGGTGGTGAGTGGTATTTATAGAAACGTTCTACTCACGAAGGCCCAGGAACTTGCGCACGTGCTTGATGGTGAGTAGTGGTCGCGCGGCGTAGTCCTCCAGTCTGATGACGGTGACCTGATTTCTGGGGAACTGGGTCAGCCATTCCTGCAGGTACACGTGGTACAGTCCCAGTCGTAGTCGGACCTGTGGGGGACAGGTCAAGTTTTAGGGGGACATGTGGGGGACTTGTGGGGGATAGGACAAGTCTTAGGGGGACATGTGGGGGACTTGTGGGGGATAGGACAAGTCTTAGGGGGACATGTGGGGGACTTGTGGGGGATAGGACAAGTCTTAGGGGGACATGTGGGGGACTTGTGGGGGATAGGACAAGTCTTAGGGGGACATGTGGGGGACAGGACAAGTCTTAGGGGGACTTGTGGGGGACAGGACAAGTGTTAGGGGGACATGTGGGGGACTTGTGGGGGACAGGACAAGTCTTAGGGGGACATGTGGGGGACAGGACAAGTTTTAGGGGGACATGTGGGGGACAGGACAAGTTTTAGGGGGACATGTGGGGGGGGGGGGCAGGACTAGTTTTAGGGGGACATGTGGGGGACAGGACAAGTCTTAGGGGGACATGTGGGGGGGCAGGACAAGTTTTAGGGTGACATGTGGGGGACATGTGGGGGACAGGACAAGTTTTAGGGGGACATGTGGGGGACATGTGGGGGACAGGACAAGTTTTAGGGGGACATGTGGGGGACAGGACAAGTTTTAGGGGGACATGTGGGGGGGGGGGGGCAGGACTAGTTTTAGGGGGACATGTGGGGGACAGGACAAGTCTTAGGGGGACATGTGGGGGACTTGTGGGGGACAGGACAAGTTTTAGGGGGACCTGTGGGGGACAGGACAAGTTTTAGGGGGACATGTGGGGGACAGGACAAGTTTTAGGGGGACATGTGGGGGGGGGGGGCAGGACTAGTTTTAGGGGGACATGTGGGGGACAGGACAAGTCTTAGGGGGACATGTGGGGGACAGGACAAGTTTTAGGGGGACATGTGGGGGACAGGACAAGTTTTAGGGGGACATGTGGGGGGGGGGCAGGACTAGTTTTAGGGGGACATGTGGGGGACAGGACAAGTCTTAGGGGGACATGTGGGGGGGCAGGACAAGTTTTAGGGTGACATGTGGGGGACATGTGGGGGACAGGACAAGTTTTAGGGGGACATGTGGGGGACAGGACAAGTCTTAGGGGGGACATGTGGGGGGGGGGGGGGCAGGACTAGTTTTAGGGGGACATGTGGGGGACAGGACAAGTGTTAGGGGGACATGTGGGGGACTTGTGGGGGACAGGACAAGTTTTAGGGGGACCTTTGGGGGACAGGACAAGTTTTAGGGGGACTTGTGGGGGACAGGACAAGTGTTAGGGGGACATGTGGGGGACTTGTGGGGGACAGGACAAGTTTTAGGGGGACCTGTGGGGGACAGGACAAGTTTTAGGGGGACTTGTGGGGGACTTGTGGGGGACTTGTGGGGGACAGGACAAGTTTTAGGGGGACCTGTGGGGGACAGGACAAGTTTTAGGGGGACTTGTGGGGGACAGGACAAGTGTTAGGGGGACATGTGGGGGGGGGGGGGGGGCAGGACTAGTTTTAGGGGGACATGTGGGGGACAGGACAAGTCTTAGGGGGACTTGTGGGGGACAGGACAAGTGTTAGGGGGACATGTGGGGGACTTGTGGGGGACAGGACAAGTTTTAGGGGGACCTGTGGGGGACAGGACAAGTTTTAGGGGGACCTGTGGGGGACAGGACAAGTTTTAGGGGGACCTGTGGGGGACAGGACAAGTCTTAGGGGGACCTGTGGGGGACAGGACAAGTTTTAGGGGGACATGTGGGGGACAGGACAAGTTTTAGGGGGACATGTGGGGGACATGTGGGGGACATGTGGGGGACTTGTGGGGGACAGGACAAGTCTTAGGGGGACATGTGGGGGACAGGACAAGTCGTAGGGGGACATGTGGGGGACTTGTGGGGGACAGGACAAGTCTTAGGGGGACATGTGGGGGACAGGACAAGTCTTAGGGGGACATGTGGGGGACATGTGGGGGACTTGTGGGGGACTTGTGGGGGACAGGACAAGTCTTAGGGGGACATGTGGGGGACAGGACAAGTCTTAGGGGGACTTGTGGGGGACAGGACAAGTCTTAGGGGGACATGTGGGGGACTTGTGGGGGACAGGACAAGTTTTAGGGGGACTTGTGGGGGACAGGACAAGTCTTAGGGGGACTTGTGGGGGACAGGACAAGTTTTAGGGGGACTTGTGGGGGACAGGACAAGTTTTAGGGGGACCTGTGGGGGACAGGACAAGTTTTAGGGGGACTTGTGGGGGACAGGACAAGTGTTAGGGGGACATGTGGGGGACTTGTGGGGGACAGGACAAGTTTTAGGGGGACCTGTGGGGGACAGGACAAGTTTTAGGGGGACTTGTGGGGGACTTGTGGGGGACAGGACAAGTTTTAGGGGGACCTGTGGGGGACAGGACAAGTTTTAGGGGGACTTGTGGGGGACAGGACAAGTGTTAGGGGGACATGTGGGGGGGGAAGGCAGGACTAGTTTTAGGGGGACATGTGGGGGACAGGACAAGTGTTAGGGGGACATGTGGGGGACTTGTGGGGGACAGGACAAGTTTTAGGGGGACCTGTGGGGGACAGGACAAGTTTTAGGGGGACCTGTGGGGGACAGGACAAGTTTTAGGGGGACCTGTGGGGGACAGGACAAGTCTTAGGGGGACCTGTGGGGGACAGGACAAGTTTTAGGGGGACATGTGGGGGACAGGACAAGTTTTAGGGGGACATGTGGGGGACATGTGGGGGACATGTGGGGGACTTGTGGGGGACAGGACAAGTCTTAGGGGGACATGTGGGGGACTTGTGGGGGACAGGACAAGTCGTAGGGGGACATGTGGGGGACTTGTGGGGGACAGGACAAGTCGTAGGGGGACATGTGGGGGACTTGTGGGGGACAGGACAAGTCTTAGGGGGACATGTGGGGGACAGGACAAGTTTTAGGGGGACATGTGGGGGACAGGACAAGTCTTAGGGGGACATGTGGGGGACATGTGGGGGACATGTGGGGGACTTGTGGGGGACAGGACAAGTTTTAGGGGGACCTGTGGGGGACTTGTGGGGGACAGGACAAGTCTTAGGGGGACATGTGGGGGAAAGGACAAGTCTTAGGGGGACTTGTGGGGGACAGGACAAGTGTTAGGGGGACATGTGGGGGACTTGTGGGGGACAGGACAAGTTTTAGGGGGACTTGTGGGGGACAGGACAAGTCTTAGGGGGACTTGTGGGGGACAGGACAAGTTTTAGGGGGACTTGTGGGGGACAGGACAAGTTTTAGGGGGACATGTGGGGGACAGGACAAGTCTTAGGGGGACTTGTGGGGGACTTGTGGGGGACAGGACAAGTTTTAGGGGGACATGTGGGGGACTTGTGGGGGACAGGACAAGTCTTAGGGGGACATGTGGGGGACAGGACAAGTCTTAGGGGGACATGTGGGGGACTTGTGGGGGACAGGACAAGTCGTAGGGGGACATGTGGGGGACAGGACAAGTCTTAGGGGGACATGTGGGGGACTTGTGGGGGACTTGTGGGGGACAGGACAAGTCTTAGGGGGACCTGTGGGGGACTTGTGGGGGACAGGACAAGTCGTAGGGGGACATGTGGGGGACTTGTGGGGGATAGGACAAGTCTTAGGGGGACATGTGGGGGACAGGACAAGTCTTAGGGGGACATGTGGGGGACTTGTGGGGGACTTGTGGGGGACAGGACAAGTTTTAGGGGGACTTGTGGGGGACAGGACAAGTCTTAGGGGGACATGTGGGGGACAGGACAAGTTTTAGGGGGACATGTGGGGGACTTGTGGGGGACAGGACAAGTTTTAGGGGGACTTGTGGGGGACTTGTGGGGGACAGGACAAGTCGTAGGGGGACATGTGGGGGACTTGTGGGGGACTTGTGGGGGACAGGACAAGTCGTAGGGGGACATGTGGGGGACTTGTGGGGGACAGGACAAGTCGTAGGGGGACATGTGGGGGACTTGTGGGGGACAGGACAAGTTTTAGGGGGACATGTGGGGGACTTGTGGGGGACAGGACAAGTCGTAGGGGGACATGTGGGGGACTTGTGGGGGATAGGACAAGTCTTAGGGGGACATGTGGGGGACAGGACAAGTTTTAGGGGGACATGTGGGGGACTTGTGGGGGACAGGACAAGTCGTAGGGGGACATGTGGGGGACTTGTGGGGGACTTGTGGGGGACAGGACAAGTTTTAGGGGGACTTGTGGGGGACAGGACAAGTCTTAGGGGGACATGTGGGGGACATGTGGGGGACTTGTGGGGGACTTGTGGGGTAGGGACAAGTCTTAGGGGGACATGTGGGGGACAGGACAAGTCTTAGGGGGACTTGTGGGGGACAGGACAAGTGTTAGGGGGACATGTGGGGGACTTGTGGGGGACAGGACAAGTTTTAGGGGGACTTGTGGGGGACTTGTGGGGGACAGGACAAGTCTTAGGGGGACTTGTGGGGGACAGGACAAGTGTTAGGGGGACATGTGGGGGACTTGTGGGGGACAGGACAAGTTTTAGGGGGACTTGTGGGGGACTTGTGGGGGACAGGACAAGTCTTAGGGGGACTTGTAGGGGACAGGACAAGTCGTAGGGGGACATGTGGGGGACTTGTGGGGGGGGGGGGATAGGGCAAGTCTTAGGGGGACATGTGGGGGACTTGTGGGGGACAGGATAATGTGTGTGTGTGTGTTTGGGGACAAGAAAATATGGGAAACATTTAATTAGGTGCGCGAAATTTCATTTCATTAATAGGTAATACCCGTTTCTATAAAATATTCGAGCGATTTCCGGTAACCGGAAGTGTTATTTTACTCAATTTCTCGTTTTTTTTTCAAACCGATAAATTGAGTGCCGATCCGAAATTTCGTATGAAAGTATTAGATCCTATTTGCATGTTACCATCAATTTTTGAACTATTTCCGATAACTGTAAGTGGTAGTTTGCCCAATGACCGGTTTCTTAAAAAAAAACATGAATTTGATAATGTAAATAATTTTAATAATATGATTCATATACTCAAAAAATATTTTTAAATTTTTTTTTTTGCCTCAATATTGTTTTTTCTCAAAAAAT